ACTTTAGATACTGAAAAAAGAATCAATAACTAGATGTTTTTTCTGTCTTTGTCACCAGAAAGGATGTCAGAACTTTGAATGCCTAGGTAAGAAAACTGAGATACTTTCAAAATGGCCTCTCATCTCTGTGACAGAGAGCCACACAGCTGCTCTGAATATTAAGAAAACATCAAATCCATGATAACATTTTACCTAAATAATATATTTCCTCTACTTTGCATAGAAACCTTTTTAAAATGCTCWATTTAAATCCCCACACCACAGCGTACTCTTCCATTGCCTTTGAAGTCGATCTGCATGCGGTAGGAGCGAAGGCCAGGAATTGGCTAGAATGTCCCTAAAAGACTTTGAGTGCCTCCGATGAAAGCTGCTATTTAAGTACAAAGTATCATAATAATTTCTATATATTTAACAACTCCACTCACTTCAATGCCAGTGCCTGACTCAGCCTCACCTATGTGGTACTTTGAGCCCTAGTCCTTAAGTGAAATTTAACCAGTAGGATGTGTGTAACTTTGTTTCATAAAAATAGTACAGAAAAGAATACCATCAAAAGCGGAAGATTCCAAAAATGTCCCACTCCATAAATTTCCCATTCCGTGTCTGTAAATAGCACAAAATCTCTTCATTAGAAAATAAAAGGCTAACAAAAGACATCTGTTACTAAAAAGGTTGGGAAGGTCACCACCCATCCCCTGTCCCCAAAGAGAGCACCCTGGGCCCATAAAGCCCCCACATGATGCCACTGGACCCGCAGGTAGAGAGAACATAGGCCACGTTTTCCTCTTAGATTACGTTTCCTAGTGGCAAAGAAAATTGAGGAAAGAAGGCAGTTGGCTGTGGGAAAATTATTCTCTACTCAGAAAGCATTGTTAGGTTGAATAAGAAAATGTGGAATATGGAGAAACATATTCTCCTTTTTAAATATTCACGTTGAAATCATCAACCATAGTACTTTCTCTTTTGAAAAACTTTGCTCTTAGATAATTAATTAAAACAAGTAATACCAAAAATAAAAAAAAAAATTCTTTCAAAAATGCAAGAATTCTTATTATCATGAAACCTGAGTCTATTTTTACTGTATGTCCACTGGGCCCCTAAAGTCCTTCTCCTTCCTCACCTCCTGCCACCCTCTACCTGGGACAGCCATTGCTGTGAGCTTGGTGTGCACTATTGCAGTATGATTAAGTACTTTTGAGGTATTTTCTAGCGATTTTCTATTTTATGAGAGATTGAATTTAAACTTTCTAAAATGAGGCCTCACTATATGAGAGAGCAATGTGTGTAAGGAGCACTTTCATGGGTCTTCTGTTTTCTTGTTGAATTATCAAATTATCAAATGTGAGTTATCAAATTTTCCCTCTTGTAACTTTTTGGCACTTTCAGTGACTCTGCATTTATCCTTCTTCTTGATATTGGGACAGTGTTTGCTGAGATGACCTCACAAAACTAGAAGTCCCCATCTGTGAGCCTCCCCCAGGGCTCTGGGCCTTCAGTGAGCCCTCTCATGTGCTTTGCAGACCCCAGGCTATGAACTAGCTGACTGCCTCCTCAATCTCCCAATCCTTATGCGTGCTAGACTGCGATTCTAGGTGACTCATCATGGCACCGTGGCCCTGGACAAGACTCAGATCAAAAAATAACCGTTAGTGAAATAAAGAGTAAAGAATCATCAAAATACGTCAGGGGAAACAAAAATGCTTTCTTTAAGACTGCCCATGGTATTTCTCTGGCTCTGCCATCCCACCCTCTAGGTCCACATATGACCTCCAGTTGGCGGGTGCCCAGAGGTCACTGGGAATTCAGAATCACAGAAAATAGGAACAGCAGGAGCCAGGATAAAAAGACCACTATTTTAAAGTTCAGTAGAAAAGGAAGTCAGAGATTCAGATTTTAGAAAACAGAAACAATTTGGAGATAAGGGTTAACAGAAATTAACGTGCCAGTCAGGCATAACGGAAGCCAGAGATGGGTCAGGAACAAACCCTGGGGAGTCTGAGACCTAAGGCACCATTGGAAAAATCAGTCCCTGCTATGGAAGTAAAGCATCAGGAACCTTAGCACAGTGCTCTTAAGTATGCTTGTTATTTAACTAAGTGTCAAATTTTGGATTGCACACTCATGATTTAATCTGATTATAATCTGGCTACATATCTTTGCAAGCAGAAAAAATTGGGCATGTGATTCTAAAAATTTACTTTGAAAGTGTATGTGTGTGTGTTTGTGTGTGTGTGCATACAGATGTGTATATGTATATATGTGTAGTACATATGCATATATTTATAACAATAGAACTACATATGTATGCTCATTTTCTTACCTTGGCAAATGAGACTCATTCCTAAGAGACAGATGTCTCTCAATGTGCTGACATCAACTTTCTGAGATTCTATGTTTGAAATTCAGATTAAAGATTGTGGTAAATTCATGAAAATAATAAAGACCACCCKGCCTTTTTGCTGTTATTCCTGCCTTTACATATTTTATGATCTATTTTATGCCTTCAGAAATAACTATAATCCCCACCTTGATATCTAGGTCCATTAACAYTACCAAAAAGTGAAAAGATGCAAATATTAGTTTTCATACCGACTCTCCAAGAAACAGAGCAAGAGGTTCTAACTTGAAAAAAAAAAAACAACACGAGACACTTGCTTGCCTCTCAATAACCTACGCCAAACCTCCTTTCCTTTTAAAGAACACAAAATCGAGTTAATTAAAAAATTAATAGGTGCTAATGGTTGAGGTCTTATACTCAAGAAACTCATTCACATGTACTGAATGACTTATCTTTCAAACAATCCTGTGGGAATATCAATACTATCTTTATTTCAAAATTTAAAAATATCAAAGGAGAAAATATTAGGGATTATGTCCAAGGTTACTGCATGAAATTAAAAAAAAAAAAAAAGCCGGGTCTGGAAGCCAGATATGGCTCCCGCRCCAGGGCTTCCCGCAGTGGTGATCGGGGATGTCAGCTCTACTTCACACTCTGAGTCACTAAGTTGGCTTGAGCAAGTCTCCCCACTCAAGCTCCCCTAGTCACCGCAGGTCTCACCACTAGATAAGAACGAAGCCAAAGGACAACTAAAGCCTGATGAGTGTGTATTCCTGAAGTGTTGTCTAAACCATGGCTACTCCGGGCCCACTTCCTGGGTCAATAGCTAAGTGGCTTCTGCTGCATTGTCTCTTCAGGGAACCAGCTGGACATGGTTAAGCCACTCAGGCCACGGCCTTGGGCCCTACAGTGTCATCTCTGTCATGGACATGTTGCAAAGTCCTGCCATCCCCCATCTACTACGCCCAGGCTTCCCACCAGCTTTAGTGCAGATTATCTAAATGAAAAAGAAGCATAGGCTCATCCTCGACTCACTCTAATTATCTGGGATTACCTCCTGGAGGTTCCTGGCAATAGCATCCTCCCCTGCTAGAGATGAAGCATAAGGCCCCAAAGAAACCCAGCAAAGAACAATGCCTTGGCACCCAAATGACTGCTGGCAACCTGAGCCAGCAGCAAGAGGGCCAGCAGTCTGTCTGTCAAGTGGAGCTCAACCTGGACAGTGTGGCCAGGTGATGAAGGGGTTGGCTGGTCCCGCCTTTACAAAACCAGTGTTATACCCTACACATGCTCCCACATCATCACCAAACCCAGAATGAAAATGCAGCTTACAAGGGCTATTTCATGCCCCATGTTACTATCTTTAGGTTCAGGGTAACTCCAAATAATCAACTAAGAAAAAAACACATTTCCATTTAGAACTCTTGGGCTAACAATTTGACAGAGTAATAAAAATGTTCATAATTTTTTGAAAAAATTCAAGCTCATTTGAATGTGGCATGTGAAACACTTGTGATTTCTATGAGTGGTCCGATAACAGCAAAGCATAATTAAAACCACAATCCCTTAGTGATATTATCAAATAATCCTAATGCTGAAGGTTGAGTCATGATACAGTTATCATCTGATTTAACATACTATGAGATCATAATGAAAGTTATCATGAATCACCTTACATTATTTTCAAAAATTTAATTCTTTATTCAACAAAACACTATTTGTATGTTACCTCTGTAACATGGTAATTTCAACAAATTTCACATGTACTTTTTTGTCCATTATAACCTAACTGAAACATAATATATAAGCTGAAAAAAATCTTTAATCATATACACATAATGTGTTGTGCATAATTTAAATCATTTTCCACTTAAAAGAAAAGCTTCACTTCATCAAACTCAAGTGATGCGTGGTGCTCTTGCAGGTTAAAAATGTGATAACCCACTTGTATTGTAAAGGATGCTAACACTTCATGAAGAGAGCCAGTCTACATCTGAGATCGTTTTAAATATTAACAGGCTAAAGGGAAAATTGACAGAGACTGCATAATTTTATAATTGCCCATGATGTCTGCCAGATATTGAAAGTGGATATTTGGCTGCTGTGGGCCTCGGTTTTCTTTTCATCAAAACCCTAAAGAATTTACATTTCTAAAACAGACATTGAACTGCTTTATAATGGGATCTATTTGCTTTGAAAATGGTAATTTTTAGAACAAATGAACTTTCTAAAATTCAAATTCTCCAAAAATCATTTTAATAAATAATTTTTAATAATACTACAAGAGCCCTTTCAAGTTTATTGGGAATATATATATATATATATATATATATATATATATATATAGCTTCTTTATGATGTACTGTCCTCTCAAATTACACATTTCAGAAGTCCATTTAATTAATTGTGTTATTAGTGACCATTTGGACTTCTGAGTCATTTCACTTTAACTCCAGGGTTGGCTAAGTTTGAGGGAAATCTCTTTTCCTTTCAGAATTTATAAAGTGAAAAGAGAGAGCATTRTAGGTTTGGTTTAAAATAGAATTCTAATATACTGTGGAAAATTATAATATTTTACAAAAGTTTTGTGCCATGAAGATAGAATACTAGGAAAGAAAAACACATAGATAACTAGAGGGAAAAAAACCAAGCTCCTACTTACCAGGTGTGAAATTGTATCGAGCTGAAAATCCTATAGACTCCAGCTCTCCATCAGCAAAAAATTTAATCCATAGAAATCTTCCACTGGATTTTATTACGGGTGGATTTTGTTGTCCACAAAAACGGCCAATTATTGGAGAAAAGCCAAAAGGTCCATCTCGAACTTCAATATGATCAAATTTGCACTCCCAAGACGGTTCAATAGAGTATTTCTCATCAAAGTAAAGTTCAATGCACTGTCTTGGGGCAGCTGTAAAAAAGAAAGATTGCATCTAGAAGGCCATTTCTTAAATCTTTTAGACTGACTTTTCTGATTCTATTTTGGGTTTTATCTGTTATATCTTTTATCAAACTCTGAAGATGATATGCATGGAAATACAAAGAAATCAGAGGATACTCAGTATTCTAAAGGGTATTTTCGTAAAAACGTTTGACGGGGTAGTCCTCAAAACTGATGCTGCTGCACAAAATACTACTTTGATCTAAAACAACCATTTCGATRTCTACCACAGAACTATCACACCACGATGGTATTGGGAGAAAGGCTGGCACCTCAGATATAGAAGGTAGACAGGCACTGTTCTCTTTTCTCATATCAGTACTCAGGTTCAAGGTCAGACACGACCTGAGAGGAGCTCAGCATGGAGTTACAGGAGCACTGAAGAGAAGCCACGCAGGAATCTCAGTTAGCTCCAAGTGTACATACAAGGCTGTTAGGGACAGTTTTTCTAGAACACAGATCTGACCCTGTCACCCTCAGCTTAAACTTCAGCAGCTCTGGCACCTGCACGACAATGCCCAGTGCACTGGACACAGGAGAAGCCCTGAGGACTCCCTCCTTCGAGGGTTATCAACTCACAGACGGCCCAAACTCAGAACACCTCCAACATGTTATGTTTTCTCAGATGACACACCTTTCAGGTGAACATGTATTTTTCCACTTTATTGCATATCTAAAGACTCAAATTTTAATTCATCTTTTTTTAGGGAGGCCTTGTTTAATGGAACCTCCTCTTGATTCTGCTCATGAGAGATGAGGACCATATCTTATCTATCTTCTTTCTTTCTGCACCATGACACAATATCTGTCATTGAGGATTTCCAAAACAAAGTCTTTTTGACTGAACTACAAATGAACTTAACTTCATACATGTTTTCAAGCTCTCTAAAAGATCCAGGAGAGGCCTTTGGGGCTGTGACCACATAAAGCTCCACATGAACGCACTTACTAATGCCTCCCACTTCCCCCTTGTCATGCCCAAAAAAGTCTAAAAGTCAGTTTTACCCTCCACAATGTTCCAGAGTGGCCATTCATGGGTGGAACGGCCAGGAGCTCATGACCAGTCACTGCCCTGGGCCCAGGAGGACTTCCTCACTACTTGCCCTTCCAAACGCTTGAATGGCATCAGGCTGTGCTGTCCCTGTGGTCAGTAAACCATGCTGAATGGCAGTTCTCCACCATCCACTGGTTATTAAATGTGTATTTACTATCATTCTTGATGACCTAAAAATTGAGCCCTTCTATCCATGGATGCCAAAAATGTGTATATAACTGAGATATGCAATAACTTGAACAGTAAAATAAAATTTCACTGTCCTCCAAGTACAAATTTAAAAATCAATAGGCAAAAGATCAGATCATGTAAAAAGATTATTTTGTGAATCATTCTTAATCCTTATGAATATCTCTGACTTACTAGACATTTAAAAGAGATACTTATAACTCATTAAAAATCAGGCATAATTTTATCTGACATTAATGTACATCACAGAGTTCCATAGACATAATACCCAAGATAATGAAAGATTTGAAGAGTGTCCATTAATATTTTGAAATCTGCAAATTTGAAAATACCCTAAGAAATGACTTTGAAAACCTAGTAGTATTCTGAAAGCAAAATGGCAGATGCTTGAGAAACTGAACCCGTTTACGCGCTTAGCACCACATCCGCCATTTGTATGTGTTATCTTGGTGCCTTATCCAAGAGGTGTCCTTGGCCCCTCTAAACCACTCATGATCCTTATAATTTTCTTAGATGTAAATAACAGGGTTAGGGCAAGTGGAGCCATGAGAAGCCAGGGCTGACTTACTCAGAGCTATCTGCCTGTCTTCTTGCAACACACACCCATCTGCCGTCCTCATTAGGAAAGACATGGCTGTTTGACACAAGCTTATTTATTCTCACCATCATCACTGTCACTTAAGTTCTCTCCAACATGGAGAAGCAAACCACTCCAAGTTCCTTCAGAAAACAGCCCCATCACTCTGGCTTTTATTAGAGTACATTGTATGTGGAAAWTTTGATTTTCTTTTTCCAGCATGTTAAAATTACCTACATATATACCCACATATGAAAATGCCACTGGCTGAGTTTTAGGATATAATTAAATAACCTTTTAAGACAGAATGAGTCTACCAGCCAGGCATGGTTGCACATGCCTGTAATCTTAGCAACTTGGGAGGCTAAGGCAGGAGGAGGGCAAGTTTGAGGTCAGCCTGGGAAACTTAGTGAGACCTTCAGTAACTTTGTAATCCTCTGCCTAAAAATTGAAAAAGACAGAAAAAAAGAAGGAAAGAAGGAAGGAAGAGAAGGAGGGAGAGAGGGAGGAAGGAAGAGAGTACTGGAGAATGTATTTTAGTGGTAAAGTTTCCCTGGCTTCAATCTCCAGAACCTCCTTGACCCCCAACCCAAGTATGCCAGAGAATTCTTGCAGATTTAGAAAATGAGTGATTATGGCACAAGTAAACGAATTCCAGCTGTCCACATCCAACTCCTTAAATATGCATTTATTTTCACCTTCTAAATGCTTGGTTCACAGCTGCATCTCACATCCACATTTTCCCAGAGCTTTGATGTAAAACTGGCTGCTTTGGAGAAGACTCACACTCCTGGAGCTCTCTGAACATGCTGAGCACCATGGACACTTCCTTTGGAACAGTGCACATACATACAGTTCATTTCCTCTAATTTAAGACCACCTGAACTCCTGAGCTCATGTACTTTCTGTGTCTGAGACGTCCCCTGTACTCTTTATCACAACCCATCTTACCTCAAGAAACTTCACYCCTTGCTTATGCTTCTTTCTCTTGTATTTTAAATATTCCCAGTTACTTGGGAGGCTGAGGCAAGAGAATTGCAATTTCAAAGCGAGCCTGGGCAACATATTTCTCTAAGTTGAAAATTAACTAAAGGCTGAGGGCGGAGCTCAATGATTRGAGCACTTGCCTAGCATGTGGGAGGCCCTGGGTTCAATCCCCAGTGCCCATAAAGAAAAAAAAAATACCTTTACTTCCGCAGAATAGGCTATTAGTTTTAGAATTGAAGTTGTATTTTTCCCATTAATAGAAGAAAAGACAAAGAAAAGAAAGAAAGAAAGAAAGAAAGAACGAGCACATGTGCGAGCGACAGCAATTGAGTGCCTGCCTGTCTTCCACTTTTGGGATCCCACTGTCCACAGATACATGGTCCCTTACTCTTGCATGCACTGTCTCCCACCCTTGGTGTCAAAAGGAGAGCACATCCTAAATCTGTGGCCACTCTCAATTGATTCCTGCAGGATGCACTTCCGCCTTTACCTTATGTCCCTTGCTGTATCAAATGGCTCCCTGGCAACTTGTTGCTTGAAACTCCGCCTTCACCAGCCCTGTGATGTCCTTCACCTGATACTCTTGCCACCCCCAGGTTTCTGTCTGCCTGCCTGTCGCCTACCTGTTATGTCCAGAAGACCACCCCACATCTTCTCTACTCTCATTTCAGGCCAGCGCCCTGGATGCCACTGGTGTTCCACAGAGGACCCTTGGGCTTAAGACCAACCAAGTCAGGATTCACAGGCAGGGGYCCTGCCATCCTCAGATTTTATAGGAGTCGAAACATAAAGCTTCAAATATTTTGGGTGATTTTATTCACATTGCTAAGTTCAGTAGCAATCTTTTTGCTTGTGTCCTATAAATAGGCTTTGCCAGCAGAGATCTTTCCACTGAGCTCAAGATACATATATCCAATCTCTTCTTAAGGCATCTCCACAAATGCCAAAATGGAGCACATTATTTTTTCTCTTTCCCACCTACATTTCTTGTCTGGCATGACACTGTTCCTAATAAATCACCAAGCAAAGTGTCTTGGAATGGTCCTGGGATTCTCTATTCTCTATTTTCACACCCCATACCCATTCATGATCCTGTTTCCTAAATATTTCTCTTTCTTCCATCACCAGTTCCTTTCTTTTTTTTTATTGTTTGTTCAAAACATTACAAAGCTCTTGACATATCATATTCCTTTAGTTCCAAGTTTTCACTAGGATTTGCTTGGTCCTTTACAGCAGTTTCTTAGTTTCTCCTTCTTCAAAAATCTCAGTTCATCACTTTTCTAAATAAATTATTCCATGGTACCCGTTGTCTCAACTCAAAGTCCAGCTTCCATAGTGTGACAGATGGAATTCAGGTTCTTCTGGTCTCTTTTGTCTCTGCCCCTCACAGGAACACGAGGAGCTCCCAACCTGCCACACCTCTGAATATTGRCATATGTTGTAGAGAATGATTACCTCCTGAATATTCTTTAAAAGTGAAAGTTTTTGGCATTCTTCCTGACAAGCTTTTCTTCCATCTCCCTCTTCCAACCATYTTGTGTACCAATCTTTTAGCCCTATTAGATTGCTAAGTGAAAGGAGTATAGTGCTCGGGTCACACTGCAAGCATCTTATTGCAAATAGCATGACATTCTTCAATGCTCTCTATACTCTACCTAGAAGAGCAGCTGTTCAGTGTTATTTAAATAACATGCAACATGTTTCAGAAAGGCTTCTATCCCAGTAACTCAAGAGGTTGAGGCAAGAGGACTACAAGTTAAAGGCTGCAAGGCCAGCCTGGGTCACAAGGCCAGCCTGGTTTCTTAATGAGACCCTGCCTCAAAATTAAAAATAATAATAATAATAAAAATAAAAATAAATTCAAGATGTAGAGAATTTGCCATGTTCAGGACCCTGAGTTCAACTCCTCTAGTACCTAAACTCTTAGAAGCAATATTAATAGTTAAATAGGTTGTATCCATTTCTTCACTTAGCTTTGTTCTTGACATAACTACAAGTGAATGAGAATTTGTACATAGTATTAAGATCAAGGTTAGCAATGCTTATTATTTTTCAACAATAATAAACATGAAAATGCAATTAATTAACATGCAAAGATTTGTTTCTGAATTAATTTTTGAGATAAGAGATTATAAGGTGATTTTATTTTTTAATAATTTATTATTTTAAAATAATGTTGTTTCAAAAATAATTATCATTCTGTGAATTACATAGAATATTTAACCTCTCTCTGCTTTAGTTTCCTAATTAGTAAAATGAGGACAAGAAAAATATTTCTTATAATGTATGTATTGATGAGTTCTTCAAAATTTGTAATCTATGTTATTTGTAGCATAGATAGTTCATAGATATGTGGTAGTAATTTGACAAAAAGAACAACTATTTCCAGGCCAGAACCTCCATAATTCAATTTCCTTTTCTATCAATAAAAACTGCTAGATCTCTGATTTTTYTTGTTTTATTCCTTTAATATCAGAGTTTATTGTTTTTCCTTTGTGTAGAATGCCACTTATTTAGTAAAAGTTCTACTTTAAGCATGGAAAGGGGAAGAAAAATATTCTAAACTCAAAATTACAATAAAAAATAATCATTCTACTTCTTCCATCTTTTTTTTTCCTTCCCATTGCTAAGAAAGATTGAACCCAGGGCCTCATGAAGGCTAGACAGGTGTACTACTACTGAGCTACATCCCTGAGTGCAAGAATAATATCTAAATAAAGATTCTGAAGTCAGTTAAGCAGGAGCTTTTTTCTTTTGAAACATCAATCAAATGAGCATCTCCCTAGTTTAAACCTGGATGCTAAGCACATATGCCTTTTTCACTAAATTAGCTTCCTCTGTGCATGTCTATGTGTGTGCAGGGGTGTCATAAGTCTTACCTGATATTTAAAGTATTGATGAACTTTATSACTAGATAAAATATTCATATATTTTTAAAAGTTATATTTAACACAGAAGTGTCTCAATGTTAGCAGAAATGGAATAAGTTCAAAGAGAGGTGAGTCTCTTTTTTTAGTACTATTTATCCTCCAAGCTAGTGAAAGAAATCTTCATAAATTAAAACTCTGACTTTCACTTAAAAATGTARTGTCAATTGGTAGCACAAAATAAGGTAATTGCCATTCAGATTAGTGTTTATAAAACATGAGTATAAATACATCTTTGACTTCAATATATTTGTGTTGTTTTATGTCTCAAATAAGAAAATAATGAATGCATAGGTCATTCTAATAACTGTTAACTTAAAAAAATACCAGTTTTTCAAAATATTACACATTAGGTAACACTACACCAACTACAATCCAGTCTGTTACTTTGGAATTCTAAACCAATTCAATCAGCTGAAAATAGGCTCTTAGATTGTTAACTTGTTTTTATTTAACAGAATTTGCTTGTTCATAACCCACTGCTAATAACTTCAGTAATTAGCCTTATTCCAGATTTGCAGTTGCTTCACTCAGAAATATTTATTTCTACCATCTCCAAAATCAATTTTTGTAATGTCTATGTGCATATTGCCCAWCCAAAACCCAGAGAAGGCCAGGTTCTGTGTTTGTGCTCCCTGGCTCTGGCCCTGTCCTTACCTTCTATGATATAGATGCATTCTCGATCCGGGGGGTACTTGCTGGGGTAGTTGGGAGAGGTGAAGACACCTCCCTCTGCATGTTTTGTCCACGTTCCACACTGCACTGACTTCTGTGTTTCTGAGGTGGTTTGTTTTTCTGTTAAATAAATAAATAAATAAAGCCATCATCCAGTTTTTATAATACTAAAAATAGAGAGGACATTCTTATAATATCCATTAGCAAATTAATTTTGAAATGCTCTCTTAGCTAAAACCAATCAATTATACACACTATAAAATGTTCAGATATTCTGGAATATTAAGAGAATGGGGAATACAGGAAAATGTAAATAACTAGAGTTCTTCCACTAGCATTTTTTTCAAGGAAACATACCTGTTCCTTTCTTGGTTGCCCCAGACAAATGGAGGATGATTAAACTTGCTGCAACTGCAACAGAAAGAGAAAATAGAAAGAGATCATATACTCTGAAATGACCAAATCTCATAAGAGCATAGAACAACATTTAAAGATAAAAGGATACCAAAGTAGAGTAGTTTTATATTATTAACTGTTATCAGTTGATTCAGAACTTGCAAAAACCAATTTAGAAGGTGCAGAGGAAAAACTTGGGAATATCTAAAGGAAGTAATGCATACTTAGAATGGATGAGACCCAAGCTCCTAAGGCCAAAGCATATTTCAATATTAAGAGGTAACATTATATTCCACTATTATCACACAAGTTACAGTGAGATTTCAAGATCTAGGCTGTTATTAAATTACCCTTTTTGAAGGGTTTTGCTAGCATGTCTAAGGGAAGAGACAGGGACAGCATGTAAAAGGAGAAAAGAGACAAACAAGAGGAAGAGTTCCATGATTGATCCTARCACTGCCAATGTGGCTGCATTCTAGAACATAAACACTTCCTTAATCCAATGGGCAAGGGGGGAGGAAGATCAAGCCAAACAGATGAGTGTGGATTGGAGGTATTAAGCAGTATTATAAAAAGGTCTCACAAAAATGTACAGAATCACCAAGTAACCCTGTCCCAAGCATTTTTGGGGGCTATGAAATTTATTATCTGTGTGTTTTATTAAGTCATTTGTTCTGGATCAGAGACACTGGTCTGTAATTTAACTGTAAATCTGCAACAGTATTATAACCTAAACTTCTGTTTTACTTCTATACTCTTGATTTGTTCAATGTTTAAAAAAAAACCCTAAAACTTACAAGATATTAAAGTCATCTAATAGTCACAACTTCTAATTTTTCTTTACTAATTTCTTTTTATTTATTTTGATGCTGAATTACATAAAAGGTCTACATGCTCATATTTCCACTTAAAATGAATTTAGGGAGGAAGAGTATAATTCATAATAATATCCTAAAATAAAATTCAGTACAGGAGCTTAGGAATTTATGCCTGAATATTAATCCAAGAAAATCATCTGGGCCCTGATATAATATTCAAGAAGGTGTCAACTGTATTACTTTATGTTCTAACAAGATCATCTTTACTCTGTATAAAAACATTGGTGGTTGCTTTTGTCGTGTTCATTGTTTTGTGTATTTAAGTTGCAAAAATCACCTTAGTTCGCCATGATTCTGCATACACACACACACACACACACACACACACACACACACACACTACAGAGGCAACTATCCACAATTTCAGGGTGTACATCTGGTATTTTCCTTACTCTGCTTTCGGTGTTTTCATGGAATCACACTATTGAACGCATACTATGTTTGAAAGGGAAAAGCTAGTCTTAACTGCGTGGCACAGGATTAACACTCTAATATCCCTGCTTTATAATGTGAAATTGCCACCTCACATTTTACCTTGCCTCCTGCCTAACGACTTTTGATGCCGTTTTCCTCCACTTCCTCCCACCCCACACTGCATGCTTCACCACACTCTAAAGCAGCCTTAGGTCTACTGGGCAGAAGAGAGTGGAAGTTGGCATTCGCCCCAAGCCCTGGGTTCCAGCGCCTTAGATTGCCCATGGGACTGGGAGTCTGGGCTGCGGAAGCCCCAGGCAGAGGAGTATTTCTTCTGGTCCCATCAAGTATAAACCCTGCTCCCTGGCTATTTCCACCTGCGCCCTCTCTGGGGCTGCAGCCGCTCAGCACGTGCCCTTCTCTGAACTGCACCCCCGGAGGTTCTGGACCCCGGAGCTTCCTGCCCTAGGAGAGCCTGTCTTTCCTGGTCTGACTGTGCGCCGCCCCCACTCCCGGCTCTATGATGCTGCAATACAGAAAGTTTACATCTGCCCCAAGACTCACTGGGACTGCGGGGTCCAGCTGGAGTGGAGCGCGGTGGCTGGGCTTTTCCCCTGCGCGTTTGGCGGGGAGGAGGGGAGGGGAGGAATGGCACCGGGGAGCCGGCCGAGCGGCGGGAAAGGTACTCACTGTGAAACAAACTGCGTCCATAGATCATGTCTGTTCCTTACACCAGAGGCTCCGATCTCCACTAATTCCATTTAGAGACGGGAAGACTTCAGTGGTGGGGGGAGGATGGAGTCCAGAGATGTTAAATATGCAAGCCAAGAACAAAATACAGGGGGGAAAGCGCGCGAGAGACGCAAGAAAGAGATGGAGCCCACACAGCAGCCAGATCCCAACAGTCCGTCTTCCGCCCCTGGCTGGCTCTCGCTCTCGCTCGCTCTCACCGCCGCGAAGCCAGCATCCCCACCATGACGCTCGCATCACACCCGGGCGCGGATCGCCACCATCAGCACCGCCGCCGGCAGCACCCTCCTCCTTTGCATCATCGCCACCGCCGCAACTGTCAGAAGGACGCGGCGGGCAGTCGGCGCGCGGGCGGCGGCGGGCGCGGGGCGAGCCCCGGGGCGCCCGGAGCCGGGACCGGGCTGGGGCCGGGCGGCGGGCGGAGCGAGGCGGGGGCCGGTCCCGACCGACGGCAGCGACGGAGCGGGCGGCGGCGGCGACTGGGGTTCGCTCAGTCCCCAGTCTCATACACCACGAGCAGCAGGTCGGAGCAGCCTCCCAGGGAGGATGTCCAGCAGCAGTCCTCTCTCCAGCCCTGGGGGATCTTCCGCTGAGGCATTGAAGACTGGAGGAAGGGGTCCGTCATCGGCTTGCCGGGCTCCGCGCCACCTCTGCGATCTTGCGGAAAGAGGAGCGGGTGGGTGGGCGTCTGGGAGGAGGGCTCGAGGGTGGTGGAGGGGAACGGGGGTGGCTAAAGGGGGCGGGGCGGGGAGGGAAGAGAAAGGAGCAGGAAGATGGCAGAGTTACCAAGTGGGCGCCTTAGTCATTGCCCTGCGCTACAGGACCCTCCAGGAAGCCCGAGACAGGGGTGAAATTGGGCAGCTCCGCGCAGCCGGCGCCCCCAGGGCTGGTGCGCGGCGGAATGAGGCGGCGGCGGCGACAGCAAGGACATCACAGCTCTTTGGATGGGGGGGTGGGTGCCGGGGGGGAGGGAGGAGGGAGGGGGTGAAGCCCAGACTGGGATCAGTCACTCTTCTAGTCTGGCTAGAAGGGGCGAGAAAGGCGCGGGCAAATCCCCAGCTGTATCTGGGTGATGGATACATGGCGTGGAAGGGGGAGGGGCCATCAAGTGAAAATCACCTTTGGGGCTCGGTTTTCCACTTCTTAAGGGTTGGAAATTGTGGTGCGTTTTTCTCCCACCCCTTGGATTCCGTCTCTCTAAGGGGAGTGGGACCTCTCTAGCCTTCTCACCTCTACAGTGGGTGAAGACTTCACCGTCTACACCGGTTGGACTGGGAGATGAGACTTGGGCTCCAGAGGAATGGGAAAGCTGTGAAAGTTTCCCCGTAAGTCACTGGGCCAGATACCAAGGCTGCCCCCGTCAAGTTGCCCCTACAAAGAGGCAAGCTCTTGCCTTTTATCTTTCCCCTATTCAAAATATTTAAAACCATCCCCAGATAAACATGGATCCCCCCACCCAACCCCAACACACAAGAACATCAGCGCTCCTGGTGCGTTAAACTCTGAAAGGAGTTGCCGAAGAAACAGCACCGGAAGAGCCCCAGCTTGTAGAAAGAGAATAAATGAATACCAAATAACAGTAAACACGAGGCAGCGCCGCGAGTGTGGGGAGTCCCTCCCAGGACGCTGCAGCAGCACCTCCTCCCCTTCCCAGATGCGTCCCGCCCTCCCGGGCCTCTGCGGACTCTACCCACGCCGGACCTCAAGCACACAGAGGCAGTCAGAGCTCTGCTACTGCCCTTGCGGCCCGGACCTCCAGGGCGCTCATCCCCGGACCCTGAGCCTCGGGTTTCACAGCCCCAACTGCGCTCGGGTCTAGGATGATGGCGAAGAGCAGCTGGGGGTGGGGAAAGATAAAGGGGGCCCCGGTAGCCCACCGACTCCGTGCTGCGAAGACAGGGGTCGCCCTAAAAGGCTAAGGAGAGAGAAAAAAAGGGGGGTCTTAAGAGGAACTGGAGAGCGCTTGAGGCTGGGGCGCTGTTGCCTGGCTCCTGGCCCTCACTTCCCTGCACCTGCTGCTGCAGCCCTGGGACGCCCACGTGGGTGCGTGGGTACGGGCGGGGTGTGGGTGCTCGCCGCGCTCCTGCCCACATTTTCCCCATCACAGCGCTGAGAGAAGGTGGAGGTCTCCTGCCAATACGTTGGGATGAGGGATAATGAGATGACCCCCAGATCCAGAGGGGATTCCTGAGATCCGAACGCAACCTTCAGGACTCCAGCTACCAAGCTGTTGTTGGTTCCTCGATCTCCAGGAAGCTGCAGCTCCTTAATGGTGGGGTAAAGTGAGCAAGTGGAGCGGGTGCCCATCCATTTGAGGAAAGGCTGGCAGATGTGGAAGGGAGGGGACGGAGAAAGACAGCGAGCTAGAGAGAGAGCTTGAGAGCGGGAGTCAAGGAGGGGGCGGAGGAAGGGAGAGATAAGGATGATGATGCTGATGATGATGGTGATGGTGATGGTGATGATGATGAGCGGGGGAGACTGTGCGCGCTCTTAGAGTGCCAACTCCACCTGAACCCGAGGCCTGGGAGGGGAGCTACAAGCTCAAGAAAAGGGAAAGGGGCAAGAGGATGGATGGAAAGCGGGTGAGTATCTGCCCACATATGCACTTGTAAAAGGATGGAGGGGAAAATAAGCTGCGGTCCCGCTGGAGTCCAGTGACCAGTGAGATTCCGGAGYCAGCGCGGGGGAGGGGAGTGGGGAGCCACCGTGGGAGTGGAGTTGAGGGAGAACSCCCCGCCCCACCCGGTGGAAACAAAACCCATCAGTCTGTCCAGGACAGCTGAAGAGGTATGAATAACTGACACAGAATGCCTGGGCAGTGTCTCTTGGATCCGGGTCACCTCTGGAGGAGAGGGGTGGGGCTCTTGTAAAATTGCCAGAGACGGGAGATGATAGCTGAATATTGAATCTTTCGTAGGAATGGAAGGTCATTATTTTTCACCTCCAAAATATGCCTTCCTTCGAAAATGATTAAACTCTTCAAAGGAACCGTGGCAACATTTTAAAGGATTTTAAGGAAATTTACTGCATTTCTCAATCACCGTTGAGGAATGAAAACTTGGTTTTAGGCTGAATCCCCCACCCCTTCCTTCCTCTTTGCCTAGATCAGTTTCTCAAGACATAGATGCTGTAACCCAACACTGGAAGTGGCCATGACAAATTTTGCTGGAGGGGTGGTCCTTGCAGCACAAGGGGAATCCTGTAACTCAGGATGGAAATCCAGGAAAGGACTGTAAACCTTGACCATGCCTCTGTTCGAAGTCGAATTCTCATATAGTGGTCTCTCTGGTCCTGAGTGCCAGTACTCTCCTACCTGTGCAGTGCCTGGGTCTGAGGAGTTTCACTGCCTCTTTGGCCTCCATGCTGAAGGYCTGAGTGTAGACCTCCTGGACCCCATTCAGCAAGGAGGCACACTAAGGGACTCCATCACCAGGAGCTGAGCCACAGCACACGCAGAGGGTTTTGCCCTTCTCCCCTGGTCCTCCCAGGCTGCAGGTGCACCTTTTCCCTTGATGATCCCTTTCCCTTTCCTTCATCACACATGCACAAATCCGTTTAACCCTCTGCTGCCTGCTACTTGCTTGGCAAACGGCCATCTCATTCTTGAGTCCCAGAATCTCCTCTTGCTGAGTAATCCTACCTCTCTAATAGGCCCCCAAAGATTTTTCTTTCTAAGAGAAAACAATGGGGGAAAATTTCTCCAAGGAAAGGAGGGCACCTCCTTTGGTTCCCCAAAGTTAGAATTAAAATAGTGACCACCATGAAAGATAATGCAGAATTCAAACTTCTTGGCCCCAATTAAGGGCCATTGGTTTCCTCCTGGCTTGCAACTTCAAAACAATGACAGGCTGAGTAAAACTTCATCCTGTATAGATACCACATTTTCTTGATCCATTCATCTAAGGCATTCTTCTCATAGGCAATTTTTTWAAACTTATTTATTTTACAGTAAAATGCATTTTGACTTAGTGTACACAAATGGAGCGCAACTTCTCATTCCTCTGGCTGTACATGGTGCAGAGTCACTCCAGTAGTGTAATCACACATGCATAGAGGGTAATAATGTCTGTCCCATTCTACTGTCCTTCCCATCCCCTCAGCCCAACTCCTCCCCTCACTCCCCTCTGCACAAACCAAAGTACCTTCATTCTTCCCTATCCTCTCACCCCACTGTGGTCAGCATCTGATTATCAGAGAAAACAATTGGCTACATGGTGAAGTTTTACTCAGCCATAAAGAAGAATGAAATTATGGCATTTGCTGGTAAACAGATGGCACTGGAGAACATCATCCTAAGTGAAATAAGCCAGACCCAGAAAGTCAAGGATTGACTATTGTATATGTGGAAGCTAGACCAAAGCAAGGGGGTAAAGGTGGGAAGGAGAAATTCCATGAAAATAGAAGGGAGATTACTGGATCAAAAGAAGGGGATTGATGGGGAGAGAGGAGGGGCAGAAAGGAAAGGATTAGTGGGATGAAAAGGACAAATTATTCTATGTACATATATGAATATAACACAGTGAATTTCACCTTGATGTACATCTGCAAAGCACTATTTAAAAAAAAAAACTATAAATAAATATAAGGAAGACAAGTAGAGTAGGAGAAGGGAATAGGGGAGAGAAGAGGTGAAGGAAGGGGGAGATACTGGGGACTGAGTTGGAGCAAATTATATTCCATGCGTGTATAATTATGTCAAAATGAACCCCAAAATTATGTGTAATTATAATGAATTAATAAAACATTAAAAATAAAAATAAAAACAAGAGCATAATTTAAAAATGACAGGTAAGACAGATTTCTAAAACCCTGGGTCCACTGGTGGAGACACTCACTCCTACAGTTCAAATGCACGACTTCTTGACTCTGCACTTGCAACTCTCTGTAGGAGACATAGAAGCTCCTGCAGACTGGATGCCTTCCTGCAGCACTGYTACATCTTTGCTATCGCCTTTCTTTTGCTAAAAGAGAAGATGTTACAAAACAGTGAAATGAAATAGTGCTTCGTACACAACCACATTATGCTAATATTTTTTATTTCTAAATAACATTTTCATTTCTTTTCACAGTTATGCAGTATAGAGGTTTGTTTTTTTCCTGTTTTATTAACTCATCAACATACAAGCCATAATATTAGGTTTTCAAAAATGTATTTCTAAATAATTTTCTGCCAAATAGTGTAGTGTTCTTGAAACTTATGTGCAATACTTAAAGATGAAGCTGGTTTTCAGGAATATTGATAAACAATTTCTTTTCAACCATCTGTAGGTGTATCCTGACAGATGAGAAGCCTTCACAAAATAGAAGATGTGTCAAAATCTGTGAAATCTTACAATTAAACCAAAGATGATATTTT